CCGGGGCGCGGGGCCACTTAGTCCCCCCCCCCCCCCCCCAGCTGCTCTGGTCCTGATTCAGCCGCTGCTGGTCAGTTTCAGCAGCAGCAGAATCAGGACGCCTGGGGCAGAGCAGCTGGGGTGCCGCCGGGTTGCTCCAGTAGAGCCAAGGAGCCAAGACAGCCGCTCTTGGCCGAGGAGGAGGCAGAGTTGCTCTGCCCCAGGCTTCCTGGAATCAGCCGCTGATCAGTTTCAGCAGCAGCTGACTTGGGGACGCCTGGGTTTCTTAAGTTGAATCTGTATGTAAGTCAGAACTGGCATCCAGATTCAGCCGCGGTTGAAACTGATCAGTTTCAGCAGTGGCTGATGCCAGTTCCGACTTACTTACAGATTCAACTTAACAAACCTACAGTCCCTATCTTGTACGTAACCCGGGGACTGCCTGTATTATGGTTCCCCAGGTGAGGAGTGGCAGGGCTTACCTCAGTAGGGAAATGCACAGTCAAGTACATTTCCCCACCCTTCCCTCCCCCCAATTAGATGAGCTACAGCTGTTCTCATTTCTCAGTTAAGTCCTTCAGTGGCTATTAGCCAGGATGGGTGGGACTGGTGTCCCTAGCCTCTGATTGTCTGGAAATGGGTGACAAGGGAGGGCTCATGTGAGGATTAGCTGTTGTGTTCCCTCCCTCTGGGGCATCTGGTATTGGACACTGTCAGCAGACAGACTACTGAGATAGATGGGCCGTTGGTCTGACCCAATGTGGCCGTTCTTATGTTCTGCAGCCTCGTGACATTCTCTGTGGAGCAGCTGACGAGGTCTTGGCTGTATTGAAGAATGAGAAGCTGCGAGACAAAGAGAGGCGGAAGGAAATTGATTTACTCTTAGGACAGACTGATGATACCCGCTATCACGTGCTGGTGAACTTGGGCAAGAAGATCACAGACTATGGTGGTGACAAGGAGATCCAGAACATGGGTAGGAGTCACCCTTGAGCTTGTGTCTGGACTGCTCCCTTGCATTATTTTACAGAGCATAGTACACAGGTTGTAAGCAATAGATGGTGTGCAAACAGGGCACAATGCCTGTATATGGGGAGGCTAGAAAGTGTGGTAGGCTGAGATCAGGCTTGCAAAATGCTTCTTTGGGACTTGATGATAAATAGTTATTGCGCTTAGACTAGTGTGTATGTTTTAATTGCTAAGTCATGCATACAACTTTGAGAGACATCTGTGGCAACAGACTCTGGATAAATTCTTAGGCCTTTGATTCAATTCCTGATTGTCACATGTGAAACAAGTGGTGTCTTTGCCACTCAGCCTTTCATGGGAATGTATACATATTCTGGCCTGTCCCTGTGGGTGTTCTTCATGTTTTAGATCCGGGTGGGTTAGTTTACATAACTGAAACACCATTAAATTGGCTGCCTTCTATCACTTGGGAGGTGTTCTCTTCCCTGTTGTCTCTTTCATATCAGGTTCAACACCATTGCATTTCAGATGTTAGCTGCTATGCGGCTTGCCCAGGCCTGCTGCTTAGGAGCAACTGCTCCAGGGCCTGGCAAATCAAAGGGGCCTGGAGCTTCTGGCCACTGCTACTATGGTAGCAGCCAGAGTCCTAGGCTCTTTCAACTGTCATTCCCAGACCCTATCTATGTCAGGGGTGGAGGACCTTATGCCCGGGGGCCAGATGCAACCCTGGGTTGCTTAGATCCAGCCTCCAGCACCGGAGAGCCCACGCTGGTGCTCCAACCCCTCCACCCTCCAACCATGGCGCTGGAGCACACAAAATCTGCTAGCCAAAATCCACTAGCCTGGGCCCCCCTAGGCTCTGGTGTGCAAGGAAAATGTGGGGATTGTCTTTCTCCTTCTGTCAGGGGCCATGTCAGTGGGGGGTTTGGTTTTTTTGTCTGCTTCTCACTTGTGTGCAGTCCTCAAATGATTCTTCTGTAGGTCAATGGCCCTCCACCCAAAAAAGGTTCCTCACCCCTACTTTAGATGGTGCTGGTGCTCCTGCATTGTAGCAGTACAAAACAGGATAACTAGGCTGAACTTGGGTTGTACCATTCTAACTTTGTCCCGCTTTGCAGATGATAACATTGATGAGACATATGGCGTGAATGTTCAGTTTGAGTCTGATGAAGAGGTAAGTGACTGGATGCTTTTAAGGTAGTGGCTGAACTGTCACTCTTCTTTGTGCTCTTTGTTGTAGACAGGGCTTAGGTACTTGGAGCTAGAATTTGGCTCAATCTTAGGCATGTTGGCCAGTGAGGCCAGGCCAGGCTAGAAAATTAGACACTGCTTCCTAGAACTGGAAAGATTTGTAAATTATTGTAATGAGCTGTACCTCTTTTTCACAAAAATGTGCCTGAATTCTATGACTTGGCTTTGATCAGCTGTCAGACTTCCTGACCTCCTCAGCAATCCCTTGCAGTTTGAAACTTGGTATTTCTCTAACTTCCTGTTTCCTGTAATACCTTTTCCAAATGTGAGCCTTTGGGAATATTTTATATAATTGCTCTTCTGTAATATTGATCCAAGTGAGGGTCTGAAAAAAATTGCCTTGGCTGTGGTGAGTGGAGACCCTTTTGGGACTGTCACCTGTTGTGCTGAAACCCCATTATTCCTGTTTTTCTTGGGAACCCTGTAATCCTGTTTTATTGAGCTCTGCTCTCCAGCCTGCTTCAAAACCAGGATAGAACCACATCCCTAAGACTGCAGATGCATGCTGAAAGCAGTACATTGCGAGACCTTTTTCCCAGTGCTCAGGTACACAGCCCCTCTGGCAGCTCAACTCTAGATCAATCTGTCTTGAGCTGTATAAACATCTGTACAGTGTAAGCTCATTAAATTTGCCCCTTCTCAGTGTAAAGGGAGAGATGCAGAGGTTCCTGCTCTGACAGGTAGTAATTACTTACACTGGATTTATTACTAAATAAAAGTGACTTTATTAAGTATAAAGACATAGGATTTAAGTAGTTATAAATAGGCCCCTACCAAATTTGCTGCCATGAAAAACATGTCACGGGCCATGGAATCTGGTCTGTTGTGTGCTTTTACCCTTTCATGGGGTGAGGATGTTAGAGAGTTTCCCAAACCTGACCCGTCCTTTGTAGGTGACAAATCTGAGGAATTGTCACAGATTGAAGTGTCATTAGAGGAGGTTTTGGAATTAGTTGATAAACTTAACAGTAACAAGTCACCAGGACCAGATGGCATTCACCCAAGAGTTCTGAAAGAACTCTTACGTGAAATTGCGGAACTACTAACTATGGTTTATAACCTATCCTTTAAATCAGCTTCTGTACCCAATGACTGGAAGATAGCTAATGTAACGCCAATATTTAAAAAGGGCTCTCGAGGCAATTCCAGCAATTACAGACCAGTAAGTCTAACGTCAGTACCGGGCAAATTGGTTGAAACAATAGTAAAGAATAAAATTGTCCAACACAGAAGAACATAATTTGTTGGGCAAAAGTCAACATGGTTTCTGTAAAGGGAAGTCATGTCTTACTAATCTATTAGAGTTCTTTTGAAGGGGTCAACAGACATGTGGACAAGGGGGATCCACTAGATATAGTATACTTGGATTTCCAGAAAGCCTTTGACAAGGTCCCTCACCAACGGCTTTTACGTAAATTAAGTTATCATGGGATAAGAGGGAAGATGCTTTCATGGATTGGAAACTGGTTAAAAGACAGGAAACAAAAGGTAGGAATAAATGGTCAGTTTTCTGAGTGGAAAAAGGTAACTAGTGGGGTCCCCCAAAGGTCTGTCCTGGGACCCTTCCTATTCAACTTATTTATAAATTATCTGGAGAAAGGGGTAAACAGTGAGGTGGCAACGTTTGCAGATGATCCTAAACTGCTCAAGGTAGTTAAGACCAAAGCAGACTGTGAAGAACTTCAAAAAGATCTCTCAAAACTAAGTGATTGGGCAACAAAATGGCAAATGAAATTTAATTGTGGATAAATGTAAAGTAATGCACCTTGGAAAAAATAACCCCAACTATACATATAATACTATGGGGGTTAATTTAGCTACAACTAATCAGGAAAGCGATCTTGGCGTCATTGTGGAAAGTTCTCTGAAAATGTCCATGCAGTTTGCAGCGGCAGTCAAAAAAGCAAACAGGATGTTAGGAATCATTAAAGGGATAGAGAATAAGACGGAGAATATCTTATTTCCCTTATATAAATCCATGGTACGCCCACATCTTGAATACTGCATACAGATGTGGTCTCCTCATCTCAAAGATATACTGGCATTAGAAAAGGTTCAGAGAAGAGCAACTAAAATGATTAGGGGTTTGGAACGGGTCCCATATAAGCTGAGATTAAAGAGATTAGGACTTTTCAGCTTGGAAAAAAGGAGACTAAAGGGGGGTATGATAGAAGTATATAAAGTCATGAGTGGTGTGGAGAAAGTGAATAAGGAAAAGTTATTTACTTGTTCCCATAATATAAGAACTAGGGGCCACCAAATGAAATTAATGTGCAGCAGGTTTAAAACAAATAAAAGGAAGTTCTTCTTCACACTGCGCACAGTCAACCTGTGGAACTCCTTGCCTGAGGAGATTGTGAAGGCTAGGACTATAACAGGGTTTAAAAGAGAACTAGATAAATTCATGGAGGTTAAATCTATTCATGGCTATTAGCCAGGCTGGGTAAGGAATGGTGTCCCCAGCCTCTGTTTGTGAGGGTTTGGAGAGCAGCGTTTCCCAACCTATGGGTCAGGACCCAAATATGGATTGCCATTACATTTCAAAAGGGTTGTCAGGTGTCTCCCCGGATGGCTCTTCAGGAGCCATTCACACACTTTTAGAATTGCCCTCGGTCACCAAGTCTTCCTGAATTGTCAAAATGGGTCCCCATCTGGAAAAGGTTGGGAACCACTGGTGGAATGGATGGCAGGAGAGAGATGGCTTAATCATTACCTGTTCGGTTCACTCCCTGTGGGACACCTGGCATTGGCCACTGTTGGCAGACAGGATGCTGGGCTGGATGGACCTTTGGTCTGACCCAGTATGGCCATTCTTAAGTTTTCAAGTGATGGTCTTGACTGGGGAAATTAAAATGCGTGTAAGTAACCATGTAACTGCTAAAAATTTCCCTGGAGCCAGCTTTTACTGTGTACTGGGAGCCTTCATGTAACCATGAACATTAACTGATGAGCCCAAGCTCATTGGTTAACTTTTTACATGGTTACACTTTCAAGTCAGGAATAGAGATGTGAAAGGAATTTGAGGGGGTTTGTAAGGTTGTGTTAAGGTGTCATGGGATTTCAACCCTTGGCTTTCAGAGCTGGATAGCCAGAAAGTGGTAGCTCCTGGCAGGAGCCCAGATCTAAAGGCAGCACTGTAGAAGAAAGGGTAGCAATACCATGCCATCCTTCTGCGCTGCTGCTGACTGTGTTTCTGCCTTCAGAGACACTTCCAGCAACAGTGCAGAAATAAGGATAACTATACCACAGTCCTTCTCCCTCCATCACATCAACTTTTCATCCCCTCCCAAACTCCTTTTTGAGTCAGGACCACTACAATTACAACACTGAAAGTTCAGATAGAAATATTGACATTTGGGGGGGGGGGGTTTAAAGTTAATCCTATCATGAAATTGATCAAAATGGATTGTGAATTTGGTAGGGCCATAGTCATAAGAGGTGGCACTCAGAACAAAGTATCTTGATAAGTTACCTAAACAGACATACAAACCAAGCTTAGTACACTAAAGAAACTGGTTACATGTAATCTCAACCTAAATATGGTTCTAATAATCTTCTTCACAGGACAGACATCCTTCCGGCCTGGTCTCAGTTCCTTCCCCCGGTTCAGTTTCCAGCAGTCATTTGGGTGGGGTAGCTGGGGATAACGGATGACCTTGATTATCTTAGTTCCTATCCTTAAATAGGATTTGCATAAGCCAGGAGTCCTTTTGTTTTATATCTTGATTACCCCTCTGCCCCATCTTCTCATGGAAAATTACAGATTTCCTGATGGGTTCCTGAATCAAGGTAACATGGTCACATCTCTCTGTAGAGCACCATATCCATTCTTTGCAGAAAGGTTCAGGTTTTCACAGTTCATTATCTCTTGCTGATATCAGTATTGTAGCCTCTTTCATTGTTGTACCTGACATTTCAGCAGTAGGTGTGACCCAAAGCAGCAAATATTAAATTACAGATACCTAGGTCAATATTTCTAACATCTACAAAAATTATACATATATAGAAATGGGATAATCATATTCACTGAATTGTAGCCTCTCCAGTGATGAGCCATCTTGATAAAGCATATTTCAGTTATGACATTCCTATCATAAGCATATTTTCATATAGCACATGGAATATTACTCACAGGCACCACTTATTTTCAAGGTTCTGAGGTGGGAAAGGACTGGAACTACTTGTATGCACTAGTGGGTTCTGAGGAAACAAGTCAGTTGAGTTCTGTCAGCACATGCTTCCACTGGGCTTTCTGCATTGTGTAAAACACAGCTAACCCAAGGGACAAGCTACTTCAGGGTAGGGATGTTAAATTTTGATTAATCAAATAGTTGATGGAATTTGCATCGACTATTTGATTAGTCAATAAGGGCATCTCTGCCTTTGAAATGCAGCAAGAGCTCTGTCAGCTCTTTGCTACGTTTTGCTGGCCCCATGCTCCCTGCTTTTGAAATGTACAAGAGAGCTCTGGGGAGGGGGTCCTGTGCATTTCAAAAGCAGGGAGCATGGGGCCGTGCTTCCCACGGTGCTTCTGCTTTTAAACTGGAGCACGAGTCGCACTCTTGCTACATTTCAAAGGTGGAAGTGCTGCCAGTTCCCCACTATGCCTCTGCTTCTCCCCCATGAAGTTGGTGCTGGGGGGGCCAGCTGCCTGTCTCTGATAGAGGCAGCAAGAGGGCAGGGAAGCAACAACTTGAATCGCTAGTCGACTATCCAACAAACATATGCTTATCGGATAGTTGATTAGTTACTTACACAGGACAGTGCTGAGGAATAAGATGCCATCTTAGTCATGTGTCAGGTCCCTTGTTCAGTTTCTGGACAAGGGCCCCGACACGTGACTAAGATGGCATCTGTAGCTATGCTCATTAAGGGACAAATTAAGGAACTGTCCCTCTTCCTGCTTTAAGTCAAAGCTAATTGTTGCCAGAGTCAGAAAGATCTTCCCTCACACCCATAATTTAGGGGTGTTCAATTAGCTTGATGCATAATTTTTTTTCTATGACTTTGGATGTTTTTGGTATTGGTCACATCTGAAAGCAGGATGCCAGACTACAATAATAATGCTCCCTTCTACTTAGCTTCTTATACAAGGAGCACTAATGAATTAAGTCTTACAACATCCCTGATACTATCAGCTACTATGTATTTGAGAGAGTTTGTCTGTCTACTCAAGAACTCCTGCTAAACGGTAAGCGCTAGGGCCACCATATTCAGCATGCAGCTTCCTTTTATCATCACTTAAAGCAAGGTAAGGATTTGGTTGTGTCAGAAGAATGGGATGAGCCTGGAGTGGGATTGCTTTTCATAAAACCATACAGAAAAGAGACAGAATAACCAGGCAGAGAAAAGGGGCTGGCTTGACCCTTCCTCCACACAGCCCCATTCCCTGTGGCTACCCCAGCCCCAAGTTTCCCACCTCTGAGGCACCCTTTAGGGAGGGCAGAGGAGGGTCCTGAAGCCCACCTCCCTTGATCCATACAGGATCATTTCTAGCTGTTCCCTTTTGTCAGGGAGTGAGGGAAAGTGCACAGTTTGCTGCATTCCTGACTCTGGCTGGGGAGCGCAGGGGACAATCTGGGCCTGCCTCAGCTGGGGGACATGCACCCCTCCCCTGGTGGTGCCTATTGGAGCTGCAGTGGCCATGGAGAGGTGCTTCTCACCTTGTCTCAAGCTCCTGCAATAAGTGAGGCTTGGGGTAGTCCTCTCTCCTCAAGGCAGCCTGCATACTGAACTTCTTCTCCTCAACTCCTCCCCAGAGCAATGATTTATATGAAGCATGGACATTTTCATTTTATTTTCCAAAAAACAAAAATTGATTTAGGGACCTGAGCCACGCAGGATAAATCTTATATCCATGGCTTCCAATTTTCCATATGGCTGTTTGGCTTCAATGTGTTGAGTGTCGCTAGTTTGCTATAGCAGTAGCAACTAGAGTGGCTACTGCTTCAGAACTGGTTGGACACCATGGTCCTATGTACCATCTTCTAAATGGGGAGACTGAAGCATGGGATGATGGGACTTGCCCAAAGTCCTATGATCTCCTGCCTTAATCACACTATGATCCTTCTGCTGCTGAAGGAAGGACGAGCTGGGCTGGCTTCTGGTAGGAGTAACATTTCCAGTATTACTGTCCAAAGTATGTGTGGGAGGAGCTAGAGAGCTTTTCCACGAGTTTTTCTCAGGAGAGAACCATTAACAGGAGCTGTGTTTTCCAACAGGAAGGTGATGAGGATGTGTATGGTGAAGTACGGGATGAAGCATCTGATGATGACATGGAGGGAGATGAGGCTGTTGTCCGCTGCACCCTTTCAGCCAATGTGAGTTACCAAGGTGGAAGCAATAGGCTGCTTTCCTATCGCTGGAGGCTTGTCTTAAAGTTGATAGCTGTGAAAGCTGTTGGGACTTGAGTCCGAACTGTGATAGCCGAAAATAGTGTCACAGATCTAGCTGAATCCTCCCTCCTGTACTGCTGTACAGGAAGGCTGCTGCTGAATACTAGAGTGTCTTTAGCCCCTAGAGTCTGAGCAGAGCCTGAGCAGTTCAGGCATCACTGCTGTCTTAGAACTTCTGGGCACACTCTTGGGGTGCAGAACTTCTATGTAGTACTCCTTCCTTAGAGCTGTGCCAGCCCCTAGAGCCACAGCTGACCCTCATGCATCCTTCAAGGGGAGCATGGGAAGTATAACTCATGAAAAACAGACATTTTGCACAGGAATCTAAAACATGATTGGTCTTTTCTGTGAGAATTCCACAGATCTGTACAAAAACCTGGCATGTATTTCCCTACCTCAGTTTCCTCACTGTTCCAGGGCCCTTCTGTGGAAGTGTGTGGTTTGCTTTCTGAGTTGGGAGTCTTCTCTCAAGCTTGCCTTCTGTGAACTTGGCTGACCTGTACTAATCAGGACCTCTGTGTGATGAAAGCATCCCTTGTCTCGCTGTCTGGAATGGCACACAAGTGTGCCTGCCAACGTCAGGGGAGGCAGTAAGGTCACAAACTTCAGGCTATTCTCTATGTTCTCTAAATAGATTTCATCAGACAAGTAACAAGCGTTGTTCCCTCTGAGCTGCATGGCAGCACAACTTCACAGGTGATTAACTGGCTCCATCCAGTCAGAGGCTCAGGGCTCCTTGCACAGAGCTGACTGACTGGGCAAAACTGATTAATCACCCGTGAAGCTGTGTGGCCTTGCAGCTTAGAGGGAACAGTGGTAACAAGTGCAAATTCAAGCCCTGTTACAGCCTTACCATGGAGTCGGACAGTGCCTTTGGGCACTCTGGTCTCTTACCATGTGGGCAAACCTGCCTCTGTGATACATACCACCGTATGCCAAAAATCTTAGCAATATTCCAGTGACTCCCAGTGCCAAGGGACTTGTCACTTATCCCAGCTCAATTACACCCAGAGCTGTCTCTTGAAACCAATGCTGGGTCAAACTAACTGAAGAGTTAGTTATTAGGTGAGCAAAGGAAACAAGTGTTTACCAAGTTAAAGCCGGTGTGATATATGTACATAAATGAGTGACAGCTTTAGATTCCAGAAGGTAATAAATAGCAACTTTCCCAATAAGCAAACTGAGTGTGTTCCTTAGGGCTAATTCTGGCAAACCAGTTAGGGCTCTCTTGTTTATGCTTAGTGACTTGCCCCTTTAGAGTCCAAGCAACAAAAAGAGCCTTTTTTTTCCTTGTCATGGCTCTGCACATAGGATAAGTTCTTGTGCCTGTCTTCTCTTCCTGGAGCAGAGTGTGATTAAAAGAACAGAGATTTTTGTTAATGTCTTGCAATGGCTCATTGGATTTCAGAGCCTTCTCGTTGGGCAGGACCTAACAGCTTCTGTCAGAATCCCGTATTTGCATTAGAGAAGGCTTTTTTCCTATGTTTGAATGGCATAATTACAGTGCGGACAATTGCTGTTGGTTTATAACATGGGGCACAGAAAAGTAAGAGTAGGAGCTAGAAACGCTATGGTGGTGCAGGTGCAGCAGCCTTGCTGTGGCACTTCTGGTAAAGGTCCTCTTGTTGGCGTAATAAGCCATCTCTGTGAGAGGCGATAGCTAGATGAGCAGGAAAAGCTCTGCTCTTATCCGCGCTTAAGAACTTACATCACTTGGGGGAGGGGGTACTCACATCCCTGAGCAGGGATGCTGACATTGGTGGTGGTGTGTATAAGTTAGGGATGTAAAATCCCATTTATCCAGTTAACTAATTAAAGTTTAACCAGTTATATGTTAAGTTTAACTGATTAAATGGAGGCAGGCACTCTGTACCAGTGCCATAGGCATGGGAGTGGAGGGAGGGCTTGCCAACCCCTAGCTTCTGTGGGCTCGTGCCCCTTCCTCTCCCATGCAAGGCTGCCTACTCCCAAATCCGTTAAGGGTGGTGCTCACCGGGTAATCTGTTAACAGGTTACGTGTTCAATCTCTAGTATAAGTGCCAGTGCATTCAGCATCCTGCAAGCTAAGGTCTAAGCACCAAATACATTCTTACAGCTCTTTTTCCTGTGATACCAGCACTAACAGATGGGTGGGTCTGACTTTTTTCTAGCTATGCATTTGTGTTTAATGAAGCCTGGGGTCTTGACGTGAGCTGACGTTGGGTTCCCCAGCATCATACTCCTCTCTTGCCCAAAACTTCCTGTGTTGCTCTCCCAGTCTCTTCCTGTGAGTCTCTAAACCATTCTGTCACCTCTTTCTTTCTACTGCTGCTGGGAGTTCCTTTTTCACTGCTTCTCCCCACCCTGCAGATAAGTGGGAGGAAGAAACTTTTCCCACTTTCATCTAGCTTCTTTGGAATTGCAATTTCTGATCAAGACACCAGGATTATAATTAAATGCTTTGTTGTCCCTAGCCTTACTGGTATGTGCTAAGTCTTGTCAGCTGTTGGTGGAGTACACATGAGGTTCTCAAACGTCCTAGCACTGTGACCTGCTTCTGACATCAAAAATTACTACATGATCCCAGGAGGAGGGGCTGATGCCTGAACCCTGCCACACTGGCTTCAGTGGGGGGTGGGAGACCTGTAACCTGAGCCCTAATACCCAGGACTGAAACCAGAGCTTGTGTCCTGCCGCCCACTGTTGAAGCCCTCGGGCTTCACGTTAGACTTGTTATGGACAGCCTAACGCCAGCCCTATCCACCCCATTTCAACAGAGTCCCAACCCACAGAGATAGAGGGGCATTCTTTGATGTAATGCATTGCATAGCAGCAACCTAATAATTTTGTATCAGTCTGAATTGGTAAGTCATACATAGGTTTCCCAGATCCTCTGAGTTCACTGGGTGGTTTTTTGACAGAGCAAAAACAAGTGATTGCTACTACCAGAGCTCAGTGTTCACATAGATAGCAGTCCAGGCTGAAATTTGGGGGGGGATAGGGGGGTGCTCTTGCTTGTAAAGGACTGTGTAGCCTGTCCTGGGACTCCATTCTGCATGGGTGAAGGAAGGCTATAAGGAGATGCTGACTGTCTTTCAGCTTGTGGCATCAGGTGAACTGATGAGCTCAAAGAAGAGAGACTTGCATCCCCGAGACATTGATGCCTTTTGGCTTCAGCGACAGCTGAGTCGCTTCTATGATGATGCCATCGTGTCCCAGAAGAAAGCAGATGAGGTGCTAGAGATCTTAAAGGTATGTGACCAGCTACTCTGCCTTGATAAGTGCAGAAAGTTTTAGGTTCAGGGCCTGCCCAGTTAGAACAGGAAGCTGTGTGGGCTGGTACTTACAGTTTGGACCCATTTGTCCATATTCAAATTCTAATCCCACCAAACAACTTGCTGCTGTGCTGGTTATCCCCTGAGGAGACGCCCACCCTGTTCCTCCTCTGTTGTGAGGACCAGGACCACCACCTCTACGCATGTGTAGACCTTCTCCCTGGGGACAGTTGCTACTTTTTAGAGACATCTTCTGAGAAGCCAACTCGGGTGTGGTGTTTCCTGTGCTAACCATGGCCCTGATCCTGACTCCCTTTGACTTCCATTGGAATTGGGCACCCAGCACTTCTCTGGTTTAAGCCCTTCATCTGTGGTATTTATGGGGCTCGAAAGCCTGTGAACTGCACGATCCAGGTGCCCTTCTCCGAAAGGCGCCTCAGGAGATCAGAGGAGACAGGGGTAGACTGAGTTTGATTAGACTCTTGCCAGTGTTGCTTAGAGACTTGGTTGTGACATGGGGCATCTGAATTGTAAATCTGGCAGGTAGCACATACTTGCTACGCAATTGGGTTCTACCTTCCCTGCAGTGGGAGTTTGTACCCGTCCCCTCACATAGTGACTAGGGCAGCAAATGCAGCCGTCTTCTTTGTTCCTTTTCCCAGACTGCCAGTGATGACAGGGAGTGTGAAAACCAGCTTGTCCTGCTTCTGGGCTTCAACACCTTTGACTTCATTAAAGTGCTGAGGCAGCACCGAATGATGAGTGAGTAGTGGGCCCCTGGTTACCCGGGTTGTTTGCCTTCATGCTGCTCTGTAGGAGATATCTGCAGCAGGGCTTACACCAGCGCAGGCTGGAGCCTGTGGCCATGGAAGGGGTTTGTTGTCAGTGCAGGGACACCACCTGCAATATTCTTCTGTCCACCTAGTTCCATCTACGCTTGGGGTGTGGATTTCTTACATGTCCTCAGTGTTAAGTGTGGATCAGGCCTCAGTTCGCCTTCACAGCTGCAACTTCCACGCCTCTCTACACACCTGCCTTCTGCGCAGTCCTTCCTTTGCTCCATGCTTGAGAAGTCAGGTTCTTCCTGACCCTCTGTGACTCCTCCATCTTGTGCCTTTCCCTCTGACCCTATGCACTGTGGTGCTGTCTTCTCTCTCCAGTCCTGTACTGCACACTGTTGGCTAGTGCACAGAGTGAAGCTGAGAAGGAGAGGATAATGGGGAAGATGGAGTCTGATCCTGAGCTGTCGAAATTCCTGTATCAGCTGCATGAGACTGAGAAGGAGGATCTGATTCGGGTAAGAAGAACGGAAAGCGCTCAGGAGGTCCCTCTTGTGTTTGAGCTGCTTCATTGCAAGAGCACATGTCGGATGTTTCCCAGCAATCTCTGAATAGCCGAATTGAAAGGCTGGGAGAGCACTGTATGGAGGTTTGAGCTGCTGATGTTTGTTGTAGACTGACCATGAGTCCTGTTTTCATGCACACTAGAGGCAGCTTTGGACGCATAACATTGGGCTTACTTGCTCTGTTACTAAAGAGCAGCAGAGTAGTTGTTGAGTCCTCTGAGAGGAAACCCCTTGGATGCATGTTCGATCCCTTGGGTATTTGTGTGTGGAATGGGACACAGCAACTCCTGTGCCCTGCCAAGAGGTGTCTGTACCATGTTAACCTGCCATCTCCCTTTGACTTCCAGGAGGAACGCTCCCGCAGGGAACGTGTGCGCCAGTCCCGGATGGACACTGACCTGGAAACCATGGATCTGGATCAGGGTGGAGAGGTGTGTCTCTTCAAAGGCACCCGTTCTTAGGCTGTTTGAGGGAGTGCTAGCTGAGGGGCTTAGTTAGTACAAGGGGGCGGTTCTTAAAGCGGGAAAGGTGGGTGCAGTAGACACTCTGATCTATCTGCCCCTGATTGGCATGAGAAGGTGTAGGAAGGCAGACTTGCAGGCTGGAGGGAGCATTTATCATGCTTCCCCCTTTAAATCTGGGGGTCAAAGTAGGAGAGAGAGGTCCCTCACACTTTCTCTGATTGCTCTTCTGGTGTTTCCAGGCTCTGGCCCCGCGCCAGGTGTTGGACCTGGAGGATCTGGTGTTTGCTCAAGGGAGCCACTTCATGGCTAACAAGCGGTGCCAGTTGCCCGATGGCTCATTCCGCAGGCAGCGCAAAGGCTATGAGGAGGTGCATGTGCCTGCTTTGAAGCCAAAGCCCTTTGGCTCTGAGGAGGTAAGGGGCTCTCTCTCATTTCAGAGAGGTGGCCATGGTAGTGCTTCAGCAAAAGCCACAAGGAGTCTGGCTCTCATTGCAATGAGTAATTTTCCCCTTCCGGTCATTGTCACCTTTTATCACTGTTGGGAATGGGCCACACCTACCCTGACTGAGTTGGCTCTGATGTAACTTCCCTCTCTGTATTCCTACCCTGTTTCTTTCAATTCGTGCAGCTGATTAATCGAGTTGTAACTCATGAAAGCTTATACTTTAATAAAACAGTTCGTCTTTAAGGTGCCGCCGCACTCCTTGCTGTTTCCTCTCGGTCAGCCTTGGGCAGGTTTGGATTACCCAGTGCCTCTTCTGCCCCATCTTCCACAGAAAGCTGCTGCTTCATGGCACTTCTTGCTTGCAGCATGCAGCTCAGTCTTTGAGGGAGTATCTTCATAGCCTGCTCTGGAGCCAGCCCTTCTAATGCATGAACCTTTAGGAACCGACATGTCAAGTTCTGCTTAACTGAGATTTCCTGTGACCAAAAATGGCTCCTGATTCATTGCTTCCTGTACCAGGGATGTACACCTACCATTGGTGCTTCTGGCTCCTCCTTCTACCTGCTCTGCTGATCCATGGGCCCTGTGCTACCCCTCTGCCAGACAGTCACTTGTGCAGGCTGGTCTGCAGGGCTGAGCATGTGAGTGGGCACCACAGTCAAGGCTAGGTTCCAGTTCTGTCTGTGCTAATTCAGGACAAGTCACTTGGACTCTGTCAGTTTCCCAAGCTGTAAAATGGAGATAAACTCAGGTCATGCTGCTGCTTGTACAGTGCTATGGATTGTTATTCTATAAGCCAGTGGTCCCCAATGCGGTGCCCCCAGGCGCCATGGCGCCCACCAGGGCATTTAGTGCACCTGTGGAACAATCTGGGCTGGCCCCACCCCCAGGCCCTGGCACATGCGCGGTGCCGGCCCAGGCGCATGGCGCATGGGCGGCCCTGGCCCTGGGTGCGCGGCACATGCTGGTGCCAGCCCCTGGCACATGGGTGGCCTCTGCCCCGGACGCGCGGCACATGCCGGTGCGGGCCCTGGGTGCGAGGCGCATGGGCGGCCCCTGCCCCAGGCGTGCGGCAGCTTCAAAGGTTGGGGACCACTGGTATAAGCTGTAATAGCTGCTTGGCTGCCCCAGACTGGCAATCTAAGGTCCCCTGTGAGTTCTCACCCACGCTGGGAACTGCCTAGTACGTGAGAGACCACAATCTGGGGAATTGGTCATGTTGGTCTAAGTAGTGGTTCCCAACCTTGTCCAGATGGGGACCCATTTTGACAATTCAGGAAGACTTGGTGACCCAGGGCAATTCAAAAGTGTGTGACTGGCTCCTTGAGAGACACCTGGCGATCCTTTTGAAATGTAATGGTGACACACATTTGGGTCCCACCCATAGGTTGGGAAACCCTGGAAGAGAGTTAGAATCTTCTGTGCTAGTTGGTTGCATCACTGGATATTGTCCAGAGTGACCCATGAGACTTGCAGATCAATAGCTGGAGTCCCTAGGCAAACTGCTACCTGATGTGTGAATTTCCTAGGCCCACTGAGAGACACTGAAGTTCCCTGCTGTTCCTGAAGGGATGTCTCTTAAGCTATGTCTACACATCCTTGTTACTTCGGAATAACTGATGTTGTTCCAAAATGTCATAGTCTACACTACAAGCTTTTATTTAAAAAAAATGGCGAGCTGGAGGATTTCTTATTCTGACTCCTGTAACCTTTATTTCATGAGGAATAAGGGAAATCGGAGGAAGTATGCTCTAATTTGGACGTCCTGCTATGTAGACAACACCAAAAGCTGAAATATGCTATTTTGACTTAAGCAATTTCGACTTAGACACGAGTACCCTGTTTGCGATACACAGTGCCCAGTCTTTGATGTTAATGCTGTGTCCCCTTTTCAGCAACTGGTGTCTGTGGACAAACTGCCCAAATACGCCCAGGCTGGGTTTGAGGGGTTCAAAACACTGAACCGGATTCAGAGCAAACTCTACCGTGCTGCGCTTGAGACCGATGAGAACCTGCTACTCTGTGCTCCCACGGTAAGGATCCAAGCAAGCTGTCTGCTCCCTGGTCATCTCTTTGGCCTTCAGTGCCTCTAGCCCTGCCTGTGTAGCACAGACAGTGGGCTTATAGCCCAGTTCTCTTAGAAAGGGGCTGGGTCACATGTAGAGGGAAATCCGCCTTTGACCATTGTGAGGCTGCAGGAGAATCGGTGGGGCTAGTTCCCAAGTACAATCCAGACCAGTGCAGGGCTGTGTCACCCCTGCCCTGCAACCTTGGGTGCCTCAATGCCTTGCTGCTGTTGCTCACTGTTGTCTTGCTGTCTGATGGCCCGGCCCTCTGGGCCTGTGTGTAACAGCTGCCTGGCGGCCACAGGCAAGCTCCCACCAGCCTGGGTTATACTGCAAGATGACCCCAGAATCATAGAATACTAGAGCTGGAAGGGACCTTGAGATATCAAGTCCAGTCCCCTGCCCTCACAGCAGGACCAAGCACCATCTAGATCATCCCTGATGGATGTCTATCCAACCAGCTCTTAAATATCTCCAGTGACAGAGACTCCACAACCTCCCTAGGCAGTTTATTCCAGTGTTTAACCGCCCTGACAGTTACAAAGTTTTTCCTAATGTCCAGTCTAAATCTCCCTTGCTGCAATTTAAGCCCTTGTCCTATCATTAGAGACCAAGGAGAAAATTTTTTCTCCCTTCTTGTAATACCCTTTTAAATACTTGAAAACTGCTATCATGTTCCCTCTCAGTCTTATCTTTTTTCTAAACTAAACAAACCCAATTCTTTCAGTCTTTCCCGCATAGGTCATGATTTCTAGACCTTTAATCATTTTTGTTGCTCTTCTCTGGACCCTCTTCAATTTCTCAACATCTTTCTGAAATGTGGTGCCCAGAACTGGACACAATACTCCAATTGAGCACAGAGAAGAGCTGAAGAATAACTTCTTGTGGCTTGTTCACAACACTCCTGTTAATGCACCCCAGAATCATGTTTGCTGCTCTTTTTGCAACAGTATCACACTGTTGCCCCATGTTTAACTTGTGGCCCACTATGACCCCTAAATCCCTTTCAGCAGTACTCATTCCTAGACAATCACTTCCCATTTTGTATGTGTGAAACTGATTGTTCCTTCCTAAGTGGAGTATTTTGTATTTGTCTGTCTTAAACTTCATCCTATTTACCTCAGACCATTTATCTCTTTTGTCCAGATCATTTTTAATTTTGACCATATCATCCAAAGTACTTGCAACCCCTTGCAGCTTGGTATCCTCTGCAAACTTAATAAGCGTGCTCTCTGTGCCATCATCTAAATCATTGATGAAGATAAATGAACAGAACCGGTCCCAAAACAGACTCCTGTGGAACCCCACTTGTTATGCCCTTCCAGTATGATTGTGAACCATTAATAACTACTCTCTGAGAATGGCTATCCAGCCAGATATGCACCCACCTTCTAGTGCCCCATCTAGGTTGTATTTCCCTAGCTTATTGATAAGGAGGTCATGCAAGACAGTGTGAAATGCCTTACTAAAATCTAGGTATACCACATCCACGACTTCTCCCTTGTCCACAAGGCTTGATATCCTATAGAAGAAAGCTACCAGATTGGTTTGACATGATTTGTTCTTGACAAATCCATGCTGGTTGTTACTATCATCTTGTTATCTTCCAGATGAATTCCTTAATTACTTAATTATCTTCCCTGGCACAGAAGTTAAACTGACTGGTCTGTAGTTTTTCGGGTTGTTCTTATTTCCCTTTTTATAGATGGGCAGTATATTTACCTTCTTCCAGTCTTTTGGAATCTCTCCCAGCTTCCATGATTTTTCAAAGATGATAGCTAAAGGCTCAGATACTCAAGGAGCTGACAGAGGAGTATTCTGGGATGTATTTCATCAGGCCCTGGTGACTTGAAGACATCTGACTTTTCTACATAAGTTTTAACTTCTAAACCTACCCCATTTCCACTAGCATTCACTATGTTGGCATCCCATCACCATCAGTCGTCTTGGTGAAAACTGAAACAAAGACGTCATTAAGCACCTTTGCCATTTCCAAGTTTCCTGTTATTGCTTCTCCCTCTTCACCGAGCAATGGGCCTATTCTGTCCTTGGTCTTTCTGTTGCTTCTAATATATTTGTAGCATGTTGTCTTGTTACCCGGTATGCCTCTAGCTAGATTTAGCTTATTTTGTGCCTTGCCTTTCTAATCTTGCCCCTGCATACCTGTGTTGTTTGCTTATATTCGTCCTTTGTAATTAGACCTAGTTTCCACTTTTTTCTACAACTCCTTTGATTTTTAGTTTGTATACGATCTCCTGCCATACTTTCTATCTTTCCTACTCAGTGGAATAGTTTGCTTTTGGGCCTGTAATTATGTCCCTTTTTAAAAAAAACTATTAACTCTCTTCAGTTGTTTTTCCTCTTAAGCCCTGCGGTGTATATGCACCCTAACTCTTGTGTGAAGAAAAATGTGTCCTTTGCTGCCCAGCCCTCTTCTGGTCAGTACAAATCTATTCAGTCCATAATACTTACAAAGAAACAACACAACAATTTATTTTGCTGAAGTTCTTCAGTTCTGCTTAACTTGCCAGTCTGTTAAGTTAACATAAGAACAGTCATGCTGCGTCAGATCAAAGGTCCATCTAGCCCAGTGGCCAATGCCAGGTGCCCCAGAGGGAGTGAACAGAACAGGGAATCATCAAGCAGTCCCTCTCCCATCACCCACTCTCTGCCTCTGACACAATTTCTGTCCATCCTGGCTAATAGCCATTGATGGAGCTAACCTCCATGGATTTATCTAGTTCTTTCTTGAACCCTGTTAAAGTCCTGGTCTTCGCAACCTTCTCTGGCAAGGAGTTCCCCAGGCTGACTGTGTGTTTGTGAAGAAAAACTTCCTTTTGTTTGTGTTAAACCTGCTACCTGTTAATTACACTTGGTGACCCCTAGTTCTTACATCATGGGAACAAGTAAATAATTGTTCCTTATTCACTTTTTCAATACTAGTCATGATTTCATAGACCTGTATCATACCCCTCCTTAGTCTCCTCTTTTCTATGCTGAAAAGTCCCAATCTTTTAAATCTCTTTTCATATGGGACCCGTTCCAAACTCCTAATTATTTTTGCTGCCCTTTTCTGAACCTTTTTTGCAATGCCAATATATCTTTTTTTGAGATGAGGCGACCACATATGTATGCTGTATTAAAGATGTGGGTGTACCATGGTTTTATATAGAGGCAATAAGATATTTTCTGTCTTATCCTCTGTCCCTTTTTAATGATTCCTAACATTGTTTGCTTTTTTTGACTGCTGCTGCATATTGAGTGGATATTTCCAGAGAACTACCCACAATGACTCCACGATCTCTCTTGAGTAGTTATAGCTAAATTAGTCCCCATCATATTTATGGTATGAACTTAAACAACAAATGGTCTGGTAGCACTTCATAGACTAACAAAACACGTAGGTAGATGGTATCATGAGCTTTCGTGGCCACAGCCCACTTCTTCATCCAGTCATCTGAAGAAGTGGTCTATGTCCACAAAAGCTCGTGATACCATCTACATGTTTTGTTAGTCTATAAAGTGCTACCAGACCATTTGTTAGTCTGTACAGGATAAATTTAAAAAATAACTCTGCTACTCCCTGAAGCTTCTATTTATGTATAGTTACAATTATTTTTTCCAATGTGCATTACCAGGGCTAACCAAGTGGCAGCGAGCCCTGCTTGCTGGCCACGCAGAAACACATGCTGCTCATGCACTGACTGTGCTGCGCGGCCGCACCAGGCAATCTACTCGCCTGTGGCTAGTAGATTTTAGCCTGATTTGTCGAGTCCTGCACATTACTTCACATTTATTACATTAAATTTCATTTGCCATTTTGTTGCCCACTCACTTAGTTTTGTGAGCTCTTTTTGAAGCTCTTCAGTCTATTTTGGTTTTAACTATCTTGAGCAATTTAGTATCATCTGCAAATTTTGCCACCTCATTGTTTACTCCTTTCTCCAGATCATTTACCTCTTTGTAGTAAGTGAACTGAAGTGATAAATGTTAAGTGACTCCAAGTAATGAGGCACAGGAGCCAGAATATCTTCTCTTTGTGTCTTGTGGCCACTCACTGTTGCCTAACCTAACAAGCTATATTAACATTCAAATACAATTTCTTCTCGCATGCTCCAGCAGATTACTGACCAAACCCTTCAGGTCAGAACCCCTTCTCCTAGTTCAACAGGGAGTCCCTTGTCTCCTGAGGCACACTGACTGATCGGGAGAGAAGGGTGTCTTGGCCTTCCTTTATATCCTTTCATCCCTCTCCGGGAAACCACTTCCAGCTATGAACCTGGAGCCAAAAAGTTAATGGTGAAGGATGTTCCCTGCTGCTTTCACCTTTTGAACTTTCTTACTTTCCTGCTTGATGACTCGCTCATACTTAAAACAGAGCATGCATGCCATTGTTTAGGAGAGACGTCAACTTCTTTTTTTGGCCTGGCTGTGGGATTTGGAAGCTAACACCATGCAGGGGTGTCACCGCACATTTTACAAGGCCAGTACTGATCAACACATTGAGTTTTTAAAAGATGCCTTACAAGGGGAATTTTATAGGAAGATTAGGACAACAATGTGTAGGGTTGAACACGGTGTTGTGTATCACAGGGTGCAGGGAAGACCAATGTCGCTCTGATGTGCATGCTACGTGAGATTGGGAAGCACATCAACATTGATGGAACCATCAACGTGGATGACTTCAAAATCATCTACATTGCTCCGATGAGGTCCCTGGTGCAGGAGATGGTGGGCAGCTTTGGGAAGGTAATGGCAAGACTTAGCTCTGCCCCTGCTAGAACAGCAGGGAGAGGGAGGTGTGAGCAAGGCTTGGTGTTTTCTCCTGTGAGCTCTGTACTGGGACAGCTCAGCTCTAGCAGTAGCATTTCCTGGTCTCACACCTTGAGAGAGGAGGGTGTTGTGCCCGTTACTCCCTGTCCCCTTGGGCCTGGCAGGGTGGGTTGGGTCGATGCCTCCATTACAGGTGCTGTTTCAGCACCAAGGAGGAAGACTCTATCTTGCTTAATGCCATTGTGCAGAAAACCTTTTCAGTCTCAGGAGAAGGGTGCATTTGGGCATACAATTTTCCCAAAGGTGCTGCTCAGGACCTTGTAATTCCAGATCTCCTCACATACCCTGTGCTGTCATCCAGCCTAATCATCCTTGGTCTTCCCTAGCGCCTGGCAACTTACGGCATCAATGTGGCTGAGCTGACTGGAGACCACCAGTTGTGTAAGGAAGAAATCAATGCTACCCAGATCATCGTCTGCACCCCTGAGAAGTGGGACATTATCACCCGCAAGGGAGGGGAGCGTACCTATACTCAGCTGGTGCGCCTCATTATCCTGGTGAGTAGCAATAATGTGCCCCCAAAGCCATTGGGAGATTCTGGCTGGGACTACAGTCTGAGAAGGGCAGGAGTCAGGACAGCAGAGGAGGGTGAGGAGTTGGGG